TTGTTATTTTCTCGCCTGGTCCATTATACTCCTGCTTACTCATACTTGATTTTTAAAGACTCATCAGTCCTATAAAAGTGAGTCAACTAAAAGTCTACAACACATTTTATAACAGGTCTTTGAGAAAAAGGGCCCTAAGCAAGCTAATAATACCAAAACCCCCCAAATCCTCATCTCCAGGATGAGGAAATCCTTCATAATAAAGCTTTAGGTTTCCTTTCAAGAAGATAATTTGCAAAAATGAAAACTAATCTATTAAGAATATTTATATTTCAGATTTTCAAAAGTTCTTTAACCTTCCCGCCACATGCTATCCTATAAAACTGAAAGAAGTTCAGATACATCTATCTTGCTTAAGGTATCAACAGATGAGAATTTGAAACGGCATGAAGCAGTGGGCTGTACCATGGCCACAGTGACGCTTGAGAAAACGACACGTTCTTTACAAAACTGAATCTTTATATTTGTGATGCTTTTGGTATTTCACTTTATAGTCTCTATTTTAAAAAGTCAGTCACTGAACTCCCACTAAAAGAGAACAGCAACCAACAGCGGCCTCTGGGAAGTGCTCGTCGTCGCAGGGGATGTGGCCAGCAGGGCGCACCACAAAACTAAAGGGTTCCTTTGATCTCAGCAATAATTTTATTCCCTAGGGAAGGTGGTTTTCCACATTGCAAGCAATGTTTTATAGAATGGGAAGAAATCTTTCATAACTTTAACAATTAGCAAATTAGACTTCAGAGGGAACTCGGCTTATGGCAGGTGCTGGGCCTGAAACCCACACCTCCCAAGTGTGTCCACTTCCCGGTCCTGCGGCTGCTGCACCAGACACGCCTGTGATGCTCTGGTCCTGAAAAGGGCCAGAACTGGGGCTCTGCCATGCGCTAAGCATGTGGACAAGAGAGAGACACCTTCACTTGTCTATTAAATGGTTACACACAGTACAAAATGAGAAGATTAGTCCCACAAATATTGTTTTGTCTGCTCAACATCTATTATTTTGACAATAGAACTGATGACTTAAAAATTTTTTTAATATATTCATTACATCAGCCTTCATTTTTGCACAATGTATGGTTTCCCTGAGAAATTCCCACCACCCATTCACCCATGCACCATCGCCATAGTCCCTTGTGCTCTTCCCACCCCTGTCCAGACCCTTCTCCCTCTTCCTCCCCTACAGAATAGCTCTGATCAATAGTTGCCTGATGATTAGAACTAATGACTTTTTTCCTGACCTTGGCTCTGAGAAATTCTAGGTTTAAACTACCAATGACCACACTAGGGAATAGAACCACAACTGTTCATTCATTCATTCATTCATTCCAACTGTGTGTCTACTCTCAGTACCAAGAGTACCATAGCACTTGGGCCAGAATGCTAACTGAAGACTCATGAATCTGTATAGTTCTCAGGCACAAATTCAATATCCTTCCAAGATGAGAATAAAAACTGAGAAGGCACAAAGCAAGAAAATTAAAATAGGAAAGTGTTCACAACAATAAACTATTCACATATGCACAGGAAAGATGAAAGACATGATCCAAGATACTGATAATCATTCTGACTCTGAGTGAAATTAAAACTATACTACTTATGCATTTCTTTTTTGTTTGTTTGTTTTTCAAAGATTTATTTATTTATGCATACAGAACTGGAGTACAGGCCAGAGGTACAGCGGTGGTGAAAGGATTCACCAGAGATAAAGCGGGGAGCAGAACAGGCAGATCAACAAGGTATACTCCTGAGGGGAGCAGCGGGCAAGATAGGAAAGGTCTGCTGTGCCCTGTGGTTCACCTCCCAGGCTGGAAAAAGGACTTGTGCTGAAGTGGCTACAGCTAGCTTTGTGGTGCTGTGCTTTAATTCACTGCACCACCAGGGAGGAGCCCCTACTTTATGTATTTCTATAATAAATGAATTTAGCTTAACTCTTTTTCAAAAACATATTTTTAGGTGTACCCTAGGAATCCAAGAAAAAAATGGCTCCACATAAGATGAATAAGCAAATCACAATAGCAAAATAGCCATGAGGGAGGGTTAAGTAAAGGAAGGTAGTAAGGAAGAAGCAACCATGGTAAATGGCTACAGATACACCTTCCCTGAAGGCACAGATCGCAGGCAGAAATCAGAGAAACACATAAATACCAGCATCTGAATCAAGCATAATATAGCACATTTAGAATCCAGCAACCCGAGGTCAAAGCCAAGCTCTGCCGACTGGCTTGTTCATGGGAAAGTTACTTAACTCTAAACTAATTTCTTTATCTGCAGAATGACCATGACTATACTAGTCCTTTTCTCACAGCTGCTGTGGTGCTTCAGACAACAACGGGCAGTGTTTACTGCAGTCCTGGAGTGGCACCTTCCTGCAAATGTGAGGCCACACGTAAACATATACCCGCAGACTGGATTCCCTCGATTACAGCAGCTTCTAAGTACTAACATTCCAGATCCAGAGGGCTTCTTAGACTGTGGGATTCTACCTCAGAGTTTGGTTTAGCACTTTTTGGGGGCTCCACCCCGCCCCCTCCCACTTGATTTAGTATTTCTTGGAAAGACCCAATTACCTGCAGTTCTAAAAACTTCCCCAGTGACGCCAAAGTTACCTGAGGACCACACTCAGATAACTACTCACCTAGAACATGGTTTTCACCCTAGTTATGCAAGAAATAACCTGGAGAGCCTGGAAAACTAAACAGACCAAGTACACAGCTGGAGATCCTGATTAAATAGGGGTCCCCAGGATCCATGTGGGGTTTTTTTCGCCTTCCAATTTTTAATTCTAATGAGCCATGGGTTGATACTTAATCTGGATAGGAAGCTTCAGTCCTGAATAATATAAACAGCAAAAATTGGCATGCTAATATGCAAAACAGAACGCGTCCACGCCTCATGAACCTCCTTCCTGATTGCTGAGTGGAGTAGAGGACTCACCCCGACACTCTCCCGATGCCTGTGATAATGCCACCTGCGGGGACCTCCTCATTCCCATACAGCTGGTAACCTGCAAACTGGGATAATTCTAGAAACGGAGACCTGCAGTGGAAAAAGATGTTACTTGCATTAAAGTCATGTCCTTTTAAGACATATTTAAACAGATATACCAGGAAAAGGAAATGATTTTTTTTTCCTTCAGAGACCAGCATTATGCATGTTGTATATGAAATCTGCAAAAAGACTGTTTATTACAGAATTCAGTGTTAATACTTTGGATATCTATATGGGCCAGCCACACAACACAACAAGAGGAACTCACAAAAAAGATGTTGTACATATATGTTTATGGACACAGAAAGAGAATGGTACTTAACACTTAGGAAGCTCTTACCAGGATCTTCAGAAGCCTAACTCATTTATTCCTCAGAACTGAGGAGGAAACTAAACCCCAGAGATGAGGTCATTTGTCTAAGGTGACAGCTAGTGAGTTAGAACCCAGCGAGGCCAATGCCTATAATGAGTTATTACAGGCATAGTTGGGTTTTAACAACTTTAAACCCAGGAACTGGTTGTTAACCGCTGCCAACTATTCTACCAATTATTTAAATGTACAAGATACATTAAGTGAAAAGAAGAGTATAAAGTACCATATTTAATGTGATTTCACTTTTCTTTTAAAAACATAGATGTCTGATACACATATACATAAAAACTGTCTACAAGGTGGATCTAGTTGTTAACAGCATTTATCTCCAGAGGATGTGTGAGTGTGCAAGTCATTAAAAGTATTCTTCATTTCCTTCTCTCCTCACCTCCATCCAGTCCCACAGAAAATCCTCGTGTGTTAGCTCTGTCTGGACAATATGCCCAAAACTCACCACTGCCATCATCTCCATCACTGCAACCCCAGTCCAAGTCATCCCCACCTCAACTCCTCTGAATAACTACAAAAGCCTCTAGTTGTGTTCATCACTTCCACCCTCTGCCCACACCTGCTTACAACATAGCAGTTCGAAAAACTTCAAGCTCTTTACTTTTTTTCAAAAAGTAAGACCAGAACAGTCTCCTTTCCAAAACTGCGCACAGATGCCCTGTCTCTCAGAGTAAGAAGCGGACTACAGGACCTTAAGAATCAGATCCCATCTCCTATTACTCTGCCTTCACTGTCTTTATCCCAACCACACTGGATCCCGGTGCCTTGGGCACATCAGCCCACCTGGCATATTCCCACATCAGGGCCTTTGCTCTGGCCATTCCCAGTGCCAACACCATTCTTTCTCCAGCTCTATGCAGGGTTATCTTTCTTAACTCCATCATTTTTTTGTTCAAATGGCTTACCTAATCACCCCATTCAAAACTCACTGAACTCTCATCTTCCCTTCCTCTGATTTTCCTACAACACCTGTCACCTTCTAACATAAGTTCATGTTTTATTTTCTGTCTCGTCCTGCTACCATGTAAAACTACAGTAGGACAAGGGCCTTTGTCTGTTTTGTTGATGGATGGATAGTAATAGCACCTAAAACAATGCTTGACACACTGTAGCCACTTGAGAAACATTTAACATCTACTGTTGAATTTTACATTAAAATCATTCATTTAGGATACTAGGATACATGGAATAGAGAACAGTCTGTGTTAGCACTGGCTATATACTAACCCTGGGTCTATAAGCCCTTCCACTCTTTCTCTGGGTAAGAGTTTGCCTCTTGACAGGTGAAGTTTTCTAGCTTTCTCACCACCTCCTATGGGGGAAAAAAAAAACCACGATTAGATTAGAGCAACATAGGGCTCCATTTAACATAAAGCCAGAAAAACACGTCAATTTTAGTCCAAAATAGGGCACTTCTCAAAAGTTTAGTGTGTCCTGTGCGAAAAAGGCTAACTTTTTGGATCACTCACTCAATTTTCTAAAGTAAATAAAGAAGTTGTCATTAAAAAAGTCATCTACTCTGACTGGATTAAAAAGATGTAGTACATATACACAATGGTATATTACTCAGCAACCAAAAAAATAAATAAACACATGACTTTTGCAGCAACATGGATGGAGCTGGAGAAGATCATGCATAGTGAAATAAGCCAGAAGGAAAAGGAAAAATACCGGATGGCTTCACTCATAGCAGGAATATAAAGGATCAGGGAGAAAATAATAATAATAATGAACAGCTATGTACCAGAGACATTTTATGGGGGTGTAGTGGGGAATAGGATCAAAAATGGGGGGGTACACTGGACTATGGTGATGGCACATGGGTGATTTGATGATGGGAAGCCCACGGGGATTACAACTGAGATGGCAAAATGTACAAAATGATGTAAAAATACACTATTATATTATTTTTTAAAAAAATCATCTACTCCTGATCCCAATTTATTACATATTTTCTGAACTCACCAGCAGTGACTTCAAGGAGTAGCAGCGCTACAGGCACTGCCTCATCACCACCACATTTATTAAACACGACCACAAGTAATTAGCAGTGTCCGCACCATGTGAAATTTGAAATTCCTACCCTGATTTGCACTGGCTGACAAAGCATTTCTTTAGAAATTACTTCCATAAAAAGTACAAGCAAAACTTACCTAAAGGTACCATTAATGACCCCCAACTTTTTAGGCTCTCAAATGGAAGAGAGTTACATACTTTCAACAGCGATTTTTAAAGCTCTTTTTTTCTTAGTATCTTGGCTCAGAGATTACAGTGTTTTGTAAAGTCCCAGACAAAGAAAATTAAATTAACAGTAAGTGAACCATTAGTATAACCGGGTGACAGTGAAGTAACCCAATGAGGGTGCTTCACAAAACAGGTGCAGCAAACCTCACCCAGCCAACAGAGGGCTAAGGATGTTGGCAACATCTATGGCCCACTCTCAGCAAGCCAAGGGAAAAGATCAGGAACAGAGGTCAAATTGTACCTTATAACATTTATTTTCACTGTTGCCCAAGAATTTCATCTTCCTATACTTTTGCTACTTGAAATTTTAAGCTATTTAAGAAAAACTATTTCTTTGGTTTTTTTTTTAAGATTTATTTATTTATTCATACAGAACTGGGGTACAGGCCAGAGATGCGGAGGGTGAGAGGATTTACCAGAGACAGAGTGGGGAGCAGAACAGGCAGATGTACTGAAATACACTGCTCAGGGGAGCAGCGGGCAGGTCAGGAGAGGTCTGCCACACCATGTGGTCACCTCCGGGGCAGGCGGGGATCGAACTCATGCTGAAGTGGCTTAAGCTTCTTAGTGCTGTGCTTTAACCCGCTGCGCCACCAGGGAGGGCCCTATTTCTTTGTTTTTTTAGGTGAGAAAGTAAGTTCATATATATTTCAAACAACTTCTCTAAGTATAACTTATTTTCAATCTGGGTTCTTTGCCTGTAGATAAGCTTTTTTTTTTTCCTAAAGCAATAGATTGTACATTTTAAAGATTAAATCTGCCCTAAGATTGCCAAAAAAGTTATATTACACATCTAATCTTTTAAAATGAAGATAATTTTGGAAAGAATTACTTGCATGATAGTATCAATTAAGACAGATCGCTGTTCTCTTTTCTCCCAGCCAGAAAGAACTCAGGATTCCCTAGGGAGGTGGGTCAGGATTAAGGGAACAATCTCACTTACTACACTGTATCGTTTCTAAGGCTTATATTTTGCTCACACTTGAACACCCCTAAAATCAGGAAGCATTTTACATTTATAGCATCTCTCAACCATGTCACCAGGGGGCAGTCACAACACAGCTGTCAGCCTCTGCAAGCACAGCGAGAGTCATCATTTCCACATGCTAAGTTATTGGAATGACATGTATTTTATGTCTTCCAAATCTACATAAGTCTAATCTTTAGGTCACTAAAAGACCTCTATATCAACCACCGAAACCATCTGAGATATTTTCTATATTGATAAAGTTATTGCCCAGCACTAACATTAAGGATTTTTTTTATCTAAAACACAATGCTTCAATTAATTATGTTAATCAAAGTACCCAGGAGTAATCCTTTTCCCCCTAGAGAAGTTACTAAAATCCTTCTCACATAATCCTTGTGCTCCAGCAGGTACAAAAAGGGACAATAAAGACATGAACAGTGGTCTAAAAATACCTAGATAAACAAAGGCAGGAGTGAGGCAGAAAGAAAAGATAAAAACAACAGCTAGAGTTGTAACAGGGTGGTTCCTAGGGAAAAGGGAAGTTCCAGGTTCACTGCCCCTCCCAGAAGAAGGGTGGAGCTGAGGAGAGTAAAGGAGAAAAAGAGAAGGAATCTGGGAAGCAGGAAGCAGGAAGGAGAGCCAGAAGACCTGAGGAAGTCACATGGAGCAAAGGGAGATATGTGAAGAAACCGTGTTTCTTTCTTGGACTGGACTGGTTGAAAGCGATGTGGGTGTGAGACCTGTGGGGAGATTGACTATGGCTGTGTTTATATTGATTTTGATTTTGCTCTTTTCCTCCAGACTTGTCTGGCCATGTCTGACCCTTTTCTATGGGTCCCAGCCAGAAGTTGCTTTAGTCTTGCTGGCGGGTTTTCAGGCTTTGCTTTGGGCCAGTCCCTTTTGGATGGACTTTTGCCCACGAGGGATGTTTGATTTAGAAATTATATTCTCTGTCTTCTGTTATTGTATACTCACTGTAGTAAAGTTCCTTTTCATTAAAGTCTTACATGTTTTGTCTTGATGCGGCGGATGGCAGAACCTATTTGAAGCAGGCAGGTTTGAGGGTTCAGGGATGCCCTCTCTCTCCCTGCCCTGTAACAGAGTCAGCTAACTTCTGTCAGCCTTGATTTATCACGACTTCTCACAAATGAAAACTTCAGGGTGAGGGGGGAGTTTGGTTGCTAAAAGAAGAAAGGGCTGAGCAGGACTCTGGAGGAAGGAAGGGACCGAGACGGAAGACTAAGACAGGCTTGGCCTTCACAGTTTTGTCTAGAAGTCATCCTTCTATGCCATGAAAATGAGTACTACATAAATAATTTAAAAGTAATATAGAAAGGATTTTGGGAAAATAGAAAAAAATTATAGAAAAAAGAAAAAATGACCCATTCATAATACCGCTAAAGAAACATTTTTGGTATCTTTGGTATTTTAGCAATTCTGATCAGGCTCCTCAAAACTTCAACAGACAAGTGTGTGTGGAAGGGGAGGTTTTATGTTTGGTTTGGGGTATTTTGTGCATCTCACAGTGGGCACTTTCTCCTATGGTTTTCTGTGTGAATGCTCATATGCTAACTTAGCAATTCTACTGATCAAGAACTGGGAATATTCTTCTTCTCTTTTTTTTTCTCCTTGGACCACTATAGAATTTAGACACCCTAATTTTAAAATCCATAAAGCTTCCTAAATAATTTTCAGACAGGCAGAGAGGCACTGTTTCAAGCTGTTTCACTTCACTAGTTAACCTTTATTCTTGAAGTCACAACTTCTAAATTATTATATATACTAATGATGGCACAACAGAATATTATGTAAACAATTACATAAAATATATATATACTAAATGTTAGTATTTTATATTTCTTTCTATGAAGCATTTTCTTTAAAAAAAAAAAATGACTTATTTATTTATGCATACAAGAACTGGGATACTGGCCAGAGGTGCGGGAGTGAGAGAACTCACCAGAGACAAGAGCAGGGAGCAGAACAGGCTGACTGACAAAGTACACTGCTGAGGGGAGCAGCAGGTGAGACAGGAGAGGTCTGCTGCACCATGTGAGTCAGCTCTCTGGCTGGGAAGAGCTTCATAGGCTGAAAATTAACCCCTTGCACCACCAAGGAGGCCTATATATGAAGCTTTTTCTTTTCTTTTCTTTTTTTAATACATTTTCTTTCAAGCAAATAAATGCCTTTTATGTCCATAGTTTAAAAAAAAAAGAATGACAACTTTTAAAGTTTTCAGGAAACCTAATTTAATAACAATAAACCATATCAAAACCATTTCCAAGTATATAACACAGCAGAAAAATGTATAATAATGCAAAGTTGAACATACAGTCTGAACATGATCAATGAAACAAAAATATTTTAGTGCTTTAAATGGAACAGTCATTTCAGTGTGATGATGTAGGTGAAATAAAACCTTACAATCAGTAGTTAAAAAATGATGAATATGAATCTCTACTCCCACCTCTTCTTCCCCCTCCATCCCGCCCCAATAGTGGCAATGGTATATGTGAGCAAATTAGACAAGAAAAAAGACCTACACACCAGCAAGTGCACCATCTTGAAGAGTCAAAGACTTAGTGCTGCTAAGACTAAAACCAATCATTTCTATAAAGGGACATCTTAATTAAAAAGGTAGGAGCCAGGCCCTCCCGATAGCACAATGGGTAAGGTCACAGCACTGCAAGCTGGCCACAACTGCTTCAATGCGAGTTTGATCCTGGCCCAGAGGTGACCCACATGGCGCAGCAGACCTCTCCTGACCCACCTGTTGCTCCCCTCAACAGTATACTTCGTTGATCTGCCTGTTCTGCTCCCCACTCTGTCTCTGGTGATCCTCCCACTATCCCTGCACTTCTGGCCTGTACCCCAGTTCTGTATACACAAATAAGTCTTAAAAAAAAAATGTAGGGGCCTCCCTGGTGGCACAAGGGGTTAAACATCAGCATTATAAAGCTATCCACAATCACCGTAGCACCAGCTTGATTCTTGGCCAGGGAGCTGACCCACATGGCACAGCAGACCTCTCCTGTCTCACCCGCTGCTCCCCTCAGCAGTATGTTTCAGTGGATCTGCCTGTTCTGCTCCCCACTCTGTCTCTGGTGAATCTTCTCACCACCATACCTCTGGCCTAGAATCCAGCTCTTCTATGCATAAATATATAAATCCTTAAAAAAAAGTAAACCATCTGATAAACATATTTACCTAGTTTTATGGTCTGTGCTCGCTCATGGAGTTGATGTACTAGTGCTTTCATCTGTTCGTAGTTTTCCTAAAACAGAAATAAAGAAGACAGAACACAGTATTAGAAAGAGATTATCTTATTGTTCTATCAAGACAATGGTTAAGGAGAAGATCATTGCATGCCAACCCCACACAGTCTCCATGCCGAGCCACACGTGTGACCTACACAAGGCAGAGGAATTTACATGAGGTCAGCCCAGCACTGTGAGAGCAGAGGGTGGACTTTGGCTGACTGCTGAATGAGTAGGGAAATATCAAGGAGCTCTGCTAGATAATCCTGACATGAAACTGCGAGACACAAATTCATTAAATCCAGCTGCATTGCTTCCAAGCAAAGTAGAAAGACTTGAGGGGGGAAACTTAACATATGACTATTTGGAAACCACTGGAACAGTGTACTCCAGTCAGTCATATTTGACTGACCAGCCCCTGCCAGATCCAGAGTGGGAACTATTTACAGACAGCGGTTTCATGGAACACAACCATGGATGTGCAGGATACTCAGTGGTGACACACTTCAGAACATCACAGAAGCCAAGGCCCTTCCAGCAGCTACATCAGCACAGACACTGAATTAATAGCCCGAACCTAAGCCCTGGGACTCTCCGAATGGTAAGTATGTGTTCATGATTCTACCCAACCTTGGGGCCATTTGGAAAGCGGGGACTCCTTGTGGTCAGCATCAAGATAAGTGCCCACTAGAAATCCTGGCCCTGCTGAAGACAGCAGCTTTCCTATTAGCTGCTGCAGTGATGCACTGTCCTCGCCGCCAAGGGATGGGTAAAAAGTTACATTTGATGGTGCGGGTTAAGAACTGACTGTTTTGCTCTCCATGATACATTCATCCCTCTCGAGGACTGAATTCAGTATGTTCTTGACTATGTTGAGGAAGATGAGGAAAGTGCTCATGCTAAGTTTGACCCCAGCTCCACTTGGAGAATAAACTCTCATGGGATGATCCTCCTCCCCTAGGCCTAGTGTGTATGTTGTTAAAGCGCCTACATGAGATATCCCACTATGGGAGAGATGCCTTATTGGAGTTTGTGCACCTATATTGAAAGGGCCCATATTTACACAGAATAGCTCAGTGGATCACCCAAGGTGTCAAACATGTGCCAGAAATAGCCCTAAGACTGATTCGCTCCCTACAGCCACTGGTGTTCAATTCAATACTTAAGGACTGGTAAGTAGAATTTACTTAAATGCCTAGAGCCACTGGCAGCTCCAAGTATCTACTAGTATTGTGAAACCTCATTAGGATGGGTGGATAAGCATATGGCAAAGGGTTCCCCACCAAGGCAGAAAAGGCTTCAGAGGTGGCTAAACAGCTATTAAAGGAGATAATTCCTCAATTTGGATGCCCAGCTCCATTCAGAGTGATAATGGGCCTGCATTTGTCTCTGAAGTCACCAGACAATAAGCAATGCCCATAGATCAGTTGGAAATGACATGCTGCATGGAGACCACAATCTTCTGGACAGACTGAGAAAAGAAACCTTGCTTTGAATAAGATCTTGGCAAAACCATCCCAACAAACATACCTGCACTGAAATCAGATATGTCCATGGCCCTCCTTTGGATAAGAGGGGCACCTAGAAGGGAACTACAATTAAGCCCCTCTGAAATTATGTTTGGGAGACACTTCTAGGCCTCATATATGAATGCCCCATCAAAAATAGAGTAGATTGCAAGATCAAACAATATGTAAAACATATCCAAACGATTTGCACTGTCTACGCCTCCTGACAAGCCACTGCATCCTTCCAGACCTGGCAATCAGGTCTTACTCAAAACTTGACAGAGTGGAGATGCCCAAGCCAACTGTCAGAAGTAGTCAGGACCACATGACATTTTATAAGCACCCACACTTTCTATAACTTGCAGGCATACATCATTCCAGAGTTAAGTTCCAGAAGATGCTAACCCAGAAACAAAAAGCCACTGGTCTTGTAAACTCATTGAGGATCTGAGATATTTGTTCAAGAAAAAGAAAAAAACTTAATTTTTTCCCCTTCTTTTCTTCTGTAGCAAGATACCCCAAAATTTATTTCCTGGGAAACCCTGAAATGACATACGTGGTAATTGCTCTAACTAAACTTTTTCACATCCCCCCCATTTTTATTAAAATTTTATCTATCTATCTATCTATGCATACAAGAACTAGGGTGTAGGCCAGAGATGCAGGGGGCAAGAATATTCACCAGAGACAGAATGGTGAGCAGAACAAGTGGTTCTACTGACATACACTGCTGAGGGGAACAGTGGGTAGGACAGGAGAGGTCTGCTGCGCCAGGGAGGCCATATAACCCCTTTGTTAATTAATGGTATTACCATTAATTAATGGTAATTAATGCCCTGTCCATTTATCTGACTCCTATCCCCTTCTATTTAATGATTAACTCTATAATCTTGTTTCTCCGGTACCCCTCCTTCCACACCCTCCTAGTTCTGTAACACTAATATCCATCATTTCACTGTTTCCAATGTCACCTAACTCTAAACTCTTCCCTAAACAATCCATCTTTCCATTGCAGTGGCACTGAAGATTCTACCAAGTCCATAGGATCATGCCACTTCTCTACTTAAATAACTATCTTTGCAGACAGCCTATAAAATGAAATCTAATGTGGCTTGCAAGGCTTTACTCTATCTGGGCCCAAAATCAATCATGGATTCCACATCTGACCATGACTTCAGGCCCTCACTGCCATATATACTTTCTTATACACGATACCTACATTCTCATTAACTCCCTTGATTTGTACAGCCTTGCTTCACTGAACCTGATCACCCTTATCTCACCATCAAAATCCAACTCACTCATTTACTTCCTATTTGCAATTTTCTATAAACCACTTTTTTGAGTTCTAGATGTCACTTATCATAATTCACTATCCTTATCTGCTTTCTCATCCACCTGCCTCACAAAATTGATGAGCTCCACTTCTACACAAGCATATGAAATACCCTAGACCACAGTTACCACTTAATGTTTCTGAGTTATACATTCTCTCCTGACCCTGAGAAATGTTAAAACCTTCTATATCAGGATGTTGATTTTCTTGCAATTGTCTTGTTTACCCAAAGGCAGGAATACTTTCAACTGTCCTACAGTTATTTGCACAATTTACATAATATCTGTGTAAGCTTAGCAACTGTGGGACAGACTGAATTTTCCAATTCTGGTATTTCACAAGTTCCAAGTTGTTTCTTTGACCTTGTGATCCCTCCCAATTCCAAGAAAGTGCATTCAAAGGTACTGTGAAATAAGTATTTTCTATTAATATAAGCAATTATTTATCTAGTCTGGAAAGCACAACCCAGACTTAGCTGTGCTAGGCCAACGGTTCCCAAAGCCGACAGCCATCAAGCCCACCAAGGTGCAAATCTGAGGACCCCACTCCAGAGGCTCAGAAGTTCGGGATGGGCTCAAAAGCTGTACATTGAACAAGCTCCCCAGGTGACAATTTGCTAAGCCAGGTTTTGAGAACCACTCATTTCAAAGCTTCAACGTACAGCACCAGTGCTAAAAGTACAGTGAAACTTTCTTTGCTTTGGAATTTTCTTTTTCTAACTTTTCACACCAGTGTATCCCCAAAATCATCCTGAGAAACCAGAACCACCCTCTGCTTTCGAGCCCCGCCAGCGCCTAGACCCTTCCTTCGGGCCATAGGCACCGGTTAAAGGGGACTCACAGACTCGGGTCGAGCGCTCCAGGCCCGGCCGCCACACCAGCCTACCTGATAGATGGCAGATGCCGAGTCCGCCTGGGTGCCCAGCGTGGCCACCGCGTCCCCGTGATAGGAGCGTGGTCCCGGAGCCGCGGCGCGGGCGACCGAACGGAGGGCTAACCTCAGGGCGGTCCACATGGCCATGGCAGGCGGCACAGCACCAGGGAGAAGAGGCAGAAAGGAGCTCGCACGGGCCAAAGCCAGCTTCTCCTCACTGGGGCCCCGCCTCGGGCTGCAGCTTTGCAGCCGACCTTGCAGACAAACCCCGCCGGAGCCTCCCAGACTGTCAGGCCAGCCCGAGCCCCGCCGGCGCAGGCCACGCTGATTGGCCACGCGGCGCACCACGCCCTCCGAGATCAGCCAATAAAGGGCGGAGGGCAGCCCCGCGAGACTTCGTGCCACCGCGAGCTCAGCTGCTTCCAGGTCCCGGGACAACACTGCGCTCTAGTGCGCCAGCACGGAGGGCAGAGTTTGTGGGCTGTGGCTGCGTTGCGTTAAAATATGTACCAGTTCATTTTCAGTGTTTTTTCTTCTTTCTCTGCTAGTAGACTATTCTGGGACTTTGCATAGTCTTTTACAAGAGCTGGAAAATGAGCGAGCTCTATGATGCCCCATGAAATAAAAAATTCCTTGCTGGGGTACTGGCGGATTCTACTGTTAACTCATTTTTTTTTTTAAAGATTTATTTATTTATTCATACAGAACTGGGGTACAGGCCAGAGGCTCAGGGACGGTGAGAGGCTTCACCAGAGACAGAGTGGGGAGCAGAACAGGCAGAATGACGAAGTACACTGCTGAGGGGAGCAGCGGGCGGGTCAGGAGAGGTCTGGCTCGCCATGTGGTCTCCGGGGCAGGCGGCAGGCGGGAATCGAACTCATGCGGAAGTGGCTTCAGATTCTCAGTGCTGTGCTTTAACGGTGAGAGGATTCATCAGAGACAAGTGGGAAGCAGAACAGGTTGACTGACGAAGTACATTGCTGAGGGGAGCAACGGAGGTCAGGGGAGGTCTGCTGCGCCAAGTGGTCACCTCCCGGGCAGGCGGGGATCGAATTCTTGCGGAAGTGCTTTAGCTTCTCAGTGCTGTGCTTTAGCCCGCTGTGCCAACAGGGAGGGCCCCAATGTTACCTCATTTAAAAAAATAATAACAATAAAGAAATTAACCCCTTACAGGAGATCCATATTTATTTAACAAATAGTTGAAAAACGTTGGAAAAGGGTATAGGCTTAGATCAATGGTGATTATTGGACAGTATCACGGTCTAAAAGTGTGCAAACAGGAGAGCCCGCCCCACAGGCCTTTTTTTCCCTAAAGGACACCAGAGCTCCAAAGAGATGGGAGGGGGAGGAAAGGGAAGAGGAAGAATGCATTTACCTGACAGTTTGACCACAAAGAAATTTTTTTTAGAGTAGACATTAATATTTTTATTTGATATATTGTTAAGTCCACCAGAGATGGACTTACTTTCCATTGTGTTATCTTTCTTCTGGTTCACAAATGCAAAAGTATGCTTCATAGCCTTTCTTCTGTGTAGAATTTCCAGGAAAGTCTCGTGTAAATGGATCCTAGTTGTGAGGTCTTTGATTCAAGCATAGTTATGGAAATTTTCCAACTCAGAAAGGAAAAGGTAAAGTCTCTGTAATTCAAGTATATTTATTTTATGGTTTAAAGTTCATCTGTCCCAAATTTTTATCCAGGGTCATGTGTATTTTAATGCAACAGGAATGTTTAACAAAACATTTCCTTTAGTCTTTCAGACATGAGTTTTGCTTTAACTAAAATTAATGACTATTTTGGTGTATAGCTTATAAGCTAAAGTAAAACTTCAAATAATTGTAAGGTACTATACCTATATTTTACATTTTTATAGCTGCAAAATACAAAATAAAACCTCTTGGTATATATGTGTGTATATATATATATATACACATATATTTTATATATCATATACCAGTATATAGATATTCTTATTATATATATCCATACCCATCCCATATCTATCCATCTATCTATCGATTGATCTGTATATATATTGGTTACACTCTTACTGGCTTTATTTTATTCAATTATTCCAGAGAATAACTGAGGTAAAATTTGCAGATTTTTTAGATAATATAATGTTGCCAAAACATTTGTGTAAAATAAGACTTTTTATATATAAAGAATGAATCTACTAAGTGAGGAGTTTGTATTTTAACATGAAACTTTTAGAAAGAATGTTTATAAGACCATATCATGGTATGAAGCAAAACAAGAACTTTTGTGAAAATTAGAAGGAAAATACCACAAAGAAATTTTAAGTGGAGACATTTTTAGATGTGCTGGAGTGTATGGAAAATTACAGTCTTAAAAAAATAAAACTCATAGTGTAGTGAAAAAGGAGAATTTTTACCAGAAAAGAATTGTCACAATAATATATTATGTGGGCCTCCCTCGTGGACTAGGGGTTAAGTCTCAGTGCTAAAACTAACACCGGGGAGCCCTGAGTTTGATTCCAAGCCAGGGGTACAGCAGACTTCTCCTGTCTTGCCCACTGCTCCCCTTAGCAGTGTATTTCAATAAATCCACCAGTTCTGCTCCCACTATCTCTGGTGAGTTCTTTCAACCCCCACACCCCACAACTCTGGCCTACACCCCATTTCTGCTACACAAAAATATTTTAAAAAATAAATAGTACAGTATGTGGGACAACAGTGAATATAATACAGTATAAATACTGAATATGGATTAGCCTGAATTGTTTTTAAGTAGAAGGGATACAGGGGAGTTGTAAGAAACCTAAGATTCATATGTACCAAAGTCAATGACAACTGAAAGATCACCAAGAAAACTACACATGGTCTCAGAGGAGGGAGGTTTTTGTTAAGGGCCCGTTTCCAGTGAGCCTCTGAATGGAGCCGCAGTGAGGGAGGAATAAGTGGGGTTTTTATAGGCCTAGGCAGGAAGAAGTGGCTGGGTGGAAATTTTTGACAAGGAACTGGAATCTATTTTTCTTTCTGGGCTTGGGTTAATGGGTGGTGACAAACAAAAGAGTCACGAGGTTATCTTTCCCGAATGTTTCTGCTTGGAGTATCTGCTCCTTCCATACGCCTAGGTTTGGCTGATGCCTGACCCTTACAACAATGTCTAACATATCTAATAAGTTAATAGAATCAAGAAAAATGAAATACCAAGTTAAAAAGCTTGCTTCAACTTTCCTAGCAAATTGACTTAAGCCATGTGTAATACTTAAAAGATGTTAGCACAGTGCCTAGAATATTACGTGGTGGTTTCTGATTTTGAAAACCTAAAGAAATTATGTTGTAGACTCAATACATCTTTCAGTATCCTTTTGAGAACAACATCCTTATGAAATGTATAGGAGATACTTTTCTTTGACTTTAGTGCCTGGGATAATTGGGCTACTGTTCCACTGGTGTGATTTTTTTTTTAAATATGGGCTTTGTGAATCCTGGTGTTGTTCCTTCAGGTTTTGAGCTGTTTCACATAATGTTCCTAAATAGAAGCTAATAAAATAATGTAGCTAACCATTAATAGTTTTGATAGTTTGATAAATTTCAAGACACAAATTTGGTCTATCTGGAGAAATGGCTAGACTATGTGTCTTTAGGAAAACTTACACAAATACTTTTCTCAGCTAAATTTTATTAAGATTTTGCCAAAATTGGGCCACGCTGGTGGTACAGGTGTTCAAGTCTCAGTGTTATCAGTTATTAGTAGCCACTGCAGCATGAATTCAATCCAATCCAGCCAGGGATTACTTATATATATATATATATGCATACATACATATGTGTGTATATGGATAGATAGATAGATACATATACATATATATGTGTATATATATACCTAGTTCAACAGACCTTTCCTGTCTCACCCTCTGCTCCTCCCAGCGGTGTATTTCAGTAGATCCATCTGTTTCGCTCTTCACTGTCTCTGGTTCACACCCCAGTTCTTGCATGCATAAACAAAATCTTTAAGTAAACTTTGAAAAAAAGATTTGCCACTATTAACTTCAGAAATTAATCCAGATTTATAATATATCCAGGAGTAACTCTTCCCACTTGGTTCTCTATACAGATAAAGTGGCAAGAAAAAAAAGAGACTGAAAAAATTCATTAACATAAGCAGTAAATAAGTGATTCTTCACATGTGTTAGATGTGGAGGGGAAGTCTGTCTTTATCCTGTTAAGATCAAGAAAATACATTTAGGGTCCTCCCTGGTGGTGCAAGGGGTTAAAGCACAGCACTATGAAGTTATCGCAGCCACTACAGCACAACAAGTTCAATCCCTGTCCAGGGAAGTGACCCACATGGCATGGCAGACCTCTACTCACTTACCCACAGCTCCCCTCAGCAGTGTATTTCAGTACATCTGCCTGTTCTGCTCCCCACTCTGACTCTGGTGAATCCTCTCACTCCCCCACACCTCTGGCCTGTATCCCAATTCTGTATGCATAAGTAAGTAAATCTAGAAAAAAAAAAAAGACTTATTCATCCAGATATACTGTTATTTCTAGGGATAGAGAAACTAAATGTAGTTTAAAAACTGACTACTTTTGCTTAATGAAATACTTTAGTCATCTGAAAAGAACACAAGAGAAATAGTATAAAATAACCTTTATTTACGTAATCTATATTTATAGAACATAACTGCTTTCTTTAGAACAAGAAAATTTACAAATGACAGATACTGCTTTTTTGTTAGACTTCTTCAAGCAACATAGTATATACATTACATGGTCACATCTATTTCAAATAAAAGGTGGTAAACAATGATTATTAACAACAAATAGGCTTTTAAATCATTACACGGACCACTTATTAAGAAATAAAGTGTTCAGGAGGAAATTCAAGAAAATATAAAGACCTTTATCATATCTCCTTAAGACTTATAAAATACAAATTCTTCTCATCTGTACATGAATTTACATAAAGTCTTTAGATGAGTAAGCCTTACCACCTGGTAAGGTAAATACACTGATTAAGTTTCTCTTTTCCTAGATTTTAAGAATGTAACAGTAGGATAATTTAGCTGGTTGGCTTGATTCTCTAATACAATGAATGCACACAGATAAAATTATTCTTTATACAGTTCAAAGTTACATCTTCCATAAAATTAATTCATTACAGATAAACAGATGAGACAGATGTTAGTAAAGTTAAAAAAATAAATATTACAGAGATGATAAAATAATGATTTAATTTGGCAATCTAATCCCCCGTCTAACATTAAGAGAAAGAATATTTTCAGAATGATTTTTTTTATTTTACAAAAACAGAGTATTAAATTAGCAATGTTTACTGCCATGATTTGGTGATATATTAATCATGAATAAATGAATATCCAAAGAGGATTTCCATTCATTTACCGATATTCCTTTATGACTCTTAAGTTAAAATATAAATTTCATTGTAAGGCAATGAATAAGAAATACTCTAATATCAATTCTCAATAAATTAAGATCACTGTTATACTTACTGACACATATCCTATTTTACTAATGAACTTGAAAAGCTTGCCACCATTTTTCAATACACAAAACAATTATCTAGACTTTAAAATACCTTCCCAATTAAAATACTGGTGGTTTCATAACGTGATCAACACCATTTTGATTATCAAACATAACACATAAATTCAATGATAAATATCTCATTGATAAAGATGTCAGCACCTTAAAGCAAGAAAAGTATTGTTTAATTTAGGGTTCAAAGAAAAAGTCCACCCAATCATGTCTATCATATTAAAAGTACTGGCTGTGGCTGATTTCACATTGAAATGAAAAAGGTGAGGAGTTGCCAAAGAAACCACCTGGCCCACAAACTCAAAAATATTTTGTAAAAAACAGTTCTGATTTCTGGTCTAATATATATTATCAACTGAAGAAACCATTCAAATAAGACAATAAGACCTGCTCTTTAAGAAATTTATAGAAACACCAAAGATTTGCTTAGATGGATAAAGAAATTACATATATAAATCTCAAAATTTAAAACAATCCTTAAATTCATAATGATGATAATCATTGACTTTATTAATAAAGTCTAAACATTATTTTACTTTATTTTTAACATCAGAATTATGTTCTGTGCTTAAAGACCTAACTGTTCCTTAAGCAGAGTTTAGTGGATGGGTGGGGGGAAAGAAGGGAGAAATTGTTTTTCAAAAATAGGAATGTATGTTTATAGGAACAGGAGACTGCCTTCTGTATGGGAATTTGTCTTGTAATGAAGTTAGGGCCCCCCCACCCCATACAAATCCTGAGATTATCCAAGAAAAAAAGAAAAGCAAAAAATTCACAGTACAAAGTCAATGTACTCAACTATGAGAAAAAAATTTTAAAACATATACACTATCCAAACACTTTTAGTTACATCATTTTAAACATCTTTAAAATTAAAGAGGGCGACAAATTTGTTAAAGCCTTCTTTACCCACAATCTCAGGGATGAAAATAACTAAAACTGACTATAGTTTTAAATTAAAAATTTTAAAATAAATAAGCTTTCTGATGTTTCATCTTTATAAATAATAAGTTTAAATACTAGTTCTTCAATTAGGACTAATATTACATGTACATGAAATAGAAAAATACTTATTTTTCAGTCAGCAAATAGTTGATAATAGAAAAGCTTTTAACATTTATTATACTAAAGTGAAGCTTCACAATTTGCTTACACATATTTAGAAGCAACTGAAAAGGCCTTCACCATCCAAAAACAAAAAACAAACAGAAAAATTTCTTACAAAAGAATTTTCAATTAAATGTTAAACACAATCCACCTCCAAATACTTCAGCACTATGATTAGACAGAGACATTATCCAGGACATTCCAAAATGTCCATCTGTGCTCAGCACAGGAAGAGTGAAAATGTAAACAACAGTGGTTATTTCTGAGAAAGTAGTCTTAATTGTTTCATGTTTCCAAAATGCTGAATCTATGCAAATGAAAAAAACCTCAATGTTATCCACTGATTATAAAAAGTTCAAAGCAATTTCATTACATATTCAAAATCAACCTAAAGAAAAATAGTGAGTTATCTATTTTCTAAATACTGCTTTTCAATATACTTGACCCTGAAAATTTCAGACTTAAAAAAAAAAAAAAAAAAGGAGCTTTTATTCTGTTTCATCCACTTCAATAAAGATATCACTAAAGAAGTATTCAGAGATTGTAGCTGGCTCCTCCCCAGAAGGCCGGTTTTGGTCACTTTTACGTTCTTCATTCAGTAATGGATGGTCACAAGAAACCTAAAAATTAAGTAGTAAAAATAAGTATGCAATACAACACTTATATATTGATAGTAGTAGCCAAAATGGAAAACTGTTTGAAAAGCAATATAGCAATAAACATTAAAAGAAATTAATATAATTTTATTTCTATGCTATTACATTAAGGAAATAATCATAAACACAATTCAGCATTTTATGAGTAAGATAATCTTTGCAGCAATGCTTATAACAAAATTCCAATCAGCATGATAAATTATAGTGTATACATTATTTGTTAAAATTTTAATAGCACAGAAAAACGTAACACTATTAAATCTGTAATGAAAACATTGAAATAGCCAGCATGAGTGGACACATAAAACATTAACACTATACAAAATGAAACTACTAAAGAGTATTAAAAAATTAGCATATTTATAAATCTATAAAAATTTTAAATAGCATGCTACTAACACAACAAAATAGAAGAATAGAAATACCCTCAATATGAAAGCTTACTGATGACATAAAGTGACATTTAAAAAAATTTGCGGAAAGGTGGATTATTCAATAAATGAAGTTAGAAAAACCATCTCAGGAAAAGAAAGTCAAACCTTGTGTATCTCATCAAAATAAATTCTATATGGAACAAAAGATTTAAATGTAAAAATATGTTTTAAAATGTATAAAGCAGCATGGAAAAACACTTTCATAATCTCAAAATAGGGTAGGCGTGTCTTTTAAATGACATGCAACTAGAAGCCATATAAGAAAAGACTGACATAAAAATTGACAATGTCTGGCTGGCAAACCCATCATACACAAAATCAAACACTAAACACATGATAGGGAAGGATTTTGCGCCTCTATCACAAATAGTTATCTTTAATAAGAGCTTACATATAAGTCAAAAAAAAGAACTCAGTATTTTTATCCAAAATATTATGAAAAATGGTTCACAGAAAAAACATGAAAAATTCAAAAATAGAAAGAGATGTTCAACTTCACTCAATAAAAGTATGTGCTCATTAAACCTATGTAGAATATCAAATGTTTAAAAAATCAGCAATATGCTAATGTGAGGGACAAGGCCCTCGAGTACTGCTTACTCTAAGAACAGAAAATGACAGAATCCCAGTGGAGGACAACCAGGAAGTATCTGTCAAAATAAGAATTATTTCTTTTCACCAGGAGTATTTCTATTAACTATTATACAGTTTTAATTCTAAATCTTTTTACACAGTTGTATGTAAGATTTCATTTGTATCACATTCCTGCAGTGACATATTTAATGGATAGCAGGCTGGCCCCAGTTAAGGAGTGGGGATGGGAGAGAAGTGTCTATTAAAGAGCAACACAAAGGATCCCTACAGTGAAGACTGTACTGTAACTTGCCTGCAGCAATGCTAATATCCTGGTTGTGATAACTTTATCAGAATTTACAAAATTTTACCAATGGGGACTGTGAAATCTCTAGTTTTACAACTGCATTTGAATCTGTAATGATCTCAAAACAGAATGTTTAAATTTTAAGAGTTGGAAGGAAACTCTTCAGTGTTTTGCAAAGATCTGTAAGAAAGCAAAAAAAAAAAAAAAAAAAGGCAAGGAAGAAAACAGTATTATCTGTGTAAAAAGTAAATGAAAAAGAAATATGTATTTGTGTATGACAATATCTCAAGAAAAGTAAATCAAAAACTGATAATATCACACCTGTAAAAAGAAAGATCTAAGATAATAAGACCTCCCTGGTAGTGCAAGGGGTCTTAAAAAAAAAAAAAAAAAGCACAGCACCATGAAAGCTATCTGTAGCCACCACAGCATGAGTTTGATCTCTGGCCAGGGAGCTGACCCACATGGCAGAGCAGATCTCTCCTGTCTTGCCTGCTGCTCCCCTCTGCAGTGGATTTCTGTCAAACTGTCCTGCTCCCCACTGTCTCTGGTGAATCCTCTCACCCTTCTCCCCACATCTCTGGCCTGTGCCACAGCTCTTGCATGCATAAATATTTTTTTAAAGGTAAACAGCAATTTGAAAATAACATTAAATTTTGATTTTTGGCCCTCCCTGGTGGCCCAGTGGGTTAAAGCACAGCAATAAGAAGCTAAAGCCACTTTAGCATGAGTTCGATTCCTGCCAGGCCCGAAGGTGATCCACATAGCGCGGCAGACCTCTTCTGACCTGCCCACTGCTCCCCTCAGCAGTGTCCTTTGACGATCTGCCTGTTCTGCTCCCTACTCTGTCTCTGGTGAACCCTCTCACAGCCCCTGCACCTCTGGCCTGTACCTCAGCTCTGTATGCATAAATAAATAAATCTTAAAAAAAATTTTTTTTTGATTCTTGCCTTACACTATACACCAAATCAATAATCATGAGTATCGTTAAAGTTTTGAAACTGACTGGTGAAAATTTTACACCATTGGAGAAAATCTTCCTAATCAAAAAAGAAATTTAAGAAATTACAAAGATAAAAAAAACTTGGAAAACTATTTGCAGCAGTTAAAAGGCATACAGCAAGATCCCACACAAATTGGTAAGAAAACCACTAAGATCCCAAAAGCTATAAATCAGAAAAAGATAGGAACAAAATTAAAAGAGAAAACCTAGCAAATAAATGCAAAAAAGCAAGTCACTCATAAGTAATGAAATACAAGTAAAACAAATGAAATGCCACTTCTCCCTTCTGACACATATTAAAAAAAATACTTTGAAAATAGTATCTAATGACAACAGGATGTGATTAAACTGGCACTGCTGATAATCTAACAACTTGAGCTCAGGAAATCAAGGAAATAGCAGATATTAAAAAGAAAATTCTAAGATGTTCTTTACAAATGTTTTTTTCTTTGAGGTTCATCTGTTCAACAGATGATCACCAGCTTTTCTTCCTTGAGATCTTAAGTTAATCCATTCTTCTTCCAAAGGTTTTGATACACATTTACAGATTTTTTTACTCCACTACCTGCCATGTGGACAGTTTCAGAATACACAGAAAGCAAGCATGCAAACAAATTTTAATTTAACCTTTGAATTCTTGTGGATGGACATTTCTCCTAAAACAAAAATGATAAAAACATTGCCTCTCTGTTTTCACAGATCAGAGAGGTCTTTGCATTAAAGGAACGGCGTAAAGTACTCATTTATAGCTAATTCAAAGATTCTATACCTTCCTGTTTCGCGGATGGGAGTCACTCTTCACTAATTTCTAACATTCAAATGAAAGGAGGACTTGTCATGTTTTGATGTCTGGCCCAAAGATTACAAACAATAAAATAAGGCAGTGATCACATACCTGAGTGGCTGAACTGCTAATATCCTCAGTTTGAGTATTAATAACACTACTTGGAGATGGGAGCAGATCAGAGGAATCTTGAGCTTTCTTCTGACTTTCATTGAGTGGATTAGATCTTTTCAAATTCTGTCTTGATACCGGTATAAGAGGTTTTAGGCGCTTCTTACTATGAACTTGAGTAGGTTCATTAGACTCCAAAGTATTCTTTGAACATATCAAAGACAAAAATCCCAATGGTCTTCGGCCAGGTCTAGAAATAAAACTTAAAGATACTCAAGAATGTCCAAGAAGACACAGCTTAATCCCAACTTCTTTCCACTAATATTAAAATGGCATACATAATACAACCTTAGTGATGTCAGCACATCTATGAAATAGTGACACCTCTACACCATTACATCCATTACATATATTTATGACAAAGGTCAACAAAGCATAAATGTGCAAACAAATCACTGGGAGAGGTTATCAAGATTCTGTGTGGTAAGGTCAGAGTTCCACGCCCATACTGCTATGGACACCTTGAGGAGCACACTCTGAGTAGCAAGATTCTACAGCGGAGCACAGTCCATGGCCAAATGTAGCCCACCACCTGATTCTACAAATACATTTTACTGGAACACAGCCAAGCTCATCTGTTTACAAATTGTCTCTGGCTGCTTTTGCACTATAGCTGCAAAATTGAAAAGTTGCAACAGGGACTTTGTAGCCTACAAAGCCTAAATATATGTCCTTTTAACAAAAAATTTGTCCTAGAACAGTGATTCTTAACCAGTTTTAACCCAAACCCTCACTCTATTTTCAGTACATCTCTAACACTAGAGAAGATACTGCTCTCTTCAGTTATATAATTAAAAAGAATAGATTAAGTACACCTCTCAAGCTACACATCTTATCTGCCCCTAGTAGAAGCTAGTACATGTCCTTCCTTCTTCAAGTCACCAAAATCATGTTAATGTTCTTCATAACCTTGAAGGCTTCCTTCTAGAGTATAAGGAAAATAACACTGAGAAACACTGGCCATTAAGTATAAACTCCACATTTATGGACTATCTGGCATAAGGGAAAAGATGCAAATATTATTTGGGACTTCAATAAAAACAACTTCCTATCTCTCCAGCCATCTAGAACTATGTTGGCAGCAACTGTATGGTAGAATATTGGTTAAAGTAACTATGATGGACAATCTGGAAAACAAAGTGTAAAATACTAAGTTCTGAATATGTTCTAAGTATTTTACAGCAATAAGAAAGATTGAAATGCAGCCATTTTCAACAAAATTTGAGAGAATTATGTGAACAAAGTTAGAATGATGAAAACAAATACACATAATTCAAAAAAGGTAAAAACACTGAAATACTAGTGGACATCAACAAACATCCTGAGGGTTCTAAGGTTAAGTGGTAGGAGAAAGAAATGAACAAAGGAACACAAAGGATGATGGTGGGGGATAAAAGAAGGGGAAAAAAATGACTAAGTCTGTTTAATAAAATGCAGGAAAAGTACTTTAAAAATGTTCTGTCCAAGAAGTTAAAGTTAAGCTCTTGTTATATGGAATGTATATTTATGTGAAAGGAATGTATATTATGTGAAACCCAAAATGTTTGACATTACTTTATTGCCTTTGATGAAACTACTTCCCTTTACAGAGAAATGTATACCTCATTATTGGAGTTATTCCCTATAAATGCTACCTCTGCTTTGATTAGGTTATATTTATCCACCAAGGGAGAGAGACAGAGAAAGCGAAAGTTTATTAAAGATTTTTTTATGATACCTGGATAGTGGGGTTTTTGATGATGATGATTGCTTATCCATTTGTTCAACAGCAGAACAAGTTCTTTCATTCTTATCGGAAACAATCATCTCATCTTGAGGTAACTGAGGTGTATTGTTTACTATATGTGTATCTATTATTTTATCAATAGCTGTAGATCCTATGCTCTGAAAAGTTGAAGGTTCAAGTTGCTCTTTCTGAGGTTCTGGAGTTATATGTATGCTTCCTGAGGCAGGGAAGGCATCTTGTCCTTTGTAAGACTCCCCTTCAAAAAAGAGAAAACAAACGGTTAGCCCACATACCGAAATTAGGACTTCCAACTGAACTGTAGTATTTAAAGGGAAAAATCATGATAGTCTATTATAAACCCACCCTAGTTAAGAGTAAGATATATTACCAGTTACCTGTACTATTAAATTATAGTTAGTTAAAAGCTATGGAAAAGCTCTCACATTCAGATACAAAATAGTTTTATGAATGTATTTTTTAAATAAATATTTCTTGAACTAGCAGAATGAAAGAACACTCATTTTCTCATCTCAGGACCAAAGGAAAGACCTATAAAAACACTTGTATATTTAATTTTCTATCTTCTAAAATGTAGTTGCTGAGCTTTTATAACTACAAAATTTTCTTTTCTTTCTTTCTTTCTTTATTCATGCAGAATTGGGATACAGGCCAGAGGTGGTGAGAGGATTCACCAGAGACAGAGGGGAGTACAACAGGCAGATCAAGGAAGTACACTGCTGAGAGGAGCAGTGGGAGGAACAGGAGTGGTCTGCTGCGCTACGTGGATCACCTCCAGGGTAGGGGTAGAACTCACGCTGAAGTGGCTGTGGCTCACTTGCAGTGCTACGTTTTAACCAGAGGGCCAACTAGAAAAATTTTTATTAATTATAGGAGGTAAGGAAAAACTCTAATAATGAAAGCATAATTATCACAAAGAAGGTCAAAAGACTATACCTTCAAACCCAAACTTCAAAAGGTATTATCAAAAATTTTAAGGAAAATTAGCAAGATGAAGTCACATTAAAATTTATTGCACTCACCTGTTTTCTCAAAAATGTTTATTAATTCCTTTGAACACATCTGTTTTAAGAAAATTTACAAAAATTACAAATCCATTTACTAAGTAAAATAACTCTTTTTTATACAAAAGACATTGCTATTCTTTAAACTTTTCCATAATATAGAAGATGGAACGCATCCAAAAATTTTTATAAATGTAGCACAATAGTGATACCAACTAACCAGACGCATGTCATTACAAAAATATGAAATAAAACATTGTAAGCACAATTCAACAGTATTCATGATCAAATAGCTTAAGTATGCAAAGATGGGGGCCTCCCTGGCAGTGCAGCAAGTGGTTAAACTACTTTGTTGCTTCCCATAGCCACTGAGGCCCAACTTTGATCCCAGGCCAGGAAGGTGACCCACATGACACAGCAGACCTTTCCTGTCTCATCCGCTGCTCCCCTCAGCAGTGTACTTCAGTAGATATGCCTGTTCTGCTCCCCATTCTGTCTCTGGTAAAACCTTTCAATCCCCACACCTCTGCCTGCACCCCAGCTCTTTTATGCATAAATAAATAAATCTTTTAAAAAAAAGTAAGTTCAGAAATATACCCAATATGAGAATTTTTATCTGATAAAAATGGAATTTTTAGATCAGTGGAGAAAAGATGATTTATAAAAGGTATTGTGATAACTATGTAGGCATCTGGGTATAATTAGGTTGACTTATTCTAACACCAAAATAAATTCTAAAAAATAGTAGTATTAACAAAAAGGACTTACATTAAATCTTAAGGAATAATTTTTCATGTTTAACATAATCATTAGAAGTCACAGAAAATCAGTCTAATCTCTCTACAGCATATGTGCATTTTCAACTCTACAATTATAATTTCAATTACTATAGGCAATTTTTCATTGTTAAAACACATAAAACAAAATTTAGAAAAGATCATAAATAAGACCAAAAGTCATCATACTTTTCTTACATGTTAATCCACACTAATGTACATCATTATCTTTTATTTTTATTATTTTTTTGAGACTTATTATTTATACATACAAGAACTGGTGTCTAGGACAGAGGCACAGGGAGGAGGATGGGAGTATCTGAGAGGATTCACCAGAGACAGAGTGGGGAACAGAACAGATCTACCAAAATACATTGCTGAGGGGAGCAGCAGGCAACACAGGAGAGGTTTGCTGTGCCATGTGGGTAGGTCTTTGGCCATTTTGCTACAGCGGCTGGTGATAGCTTAATAGTGCATGACTTAATCCCTGAGCCATCAAGGAGGCCCCAACATTGTCTTTTAAAATGACACATTATAAACAGGTACCCTATTGTTGAACTTAGTAATCTACTGTCATCTTTTTCCATAAATAAACTTTTATTCCAGAAATATACTTTTTAAAACAAGACAAAACTATTGAAACTGGGTGACTAATACACATTATACTAACATGTCTACCTTTTAAAAATGTATGAAATTTGTTATATTAAAAAGTTAACCAAAGAAAGTTTACATGATAAAAACCACAAAAAGTAGAGTCAAAATACAAATAGCAAATTGGGGGAAAAAAACATCTAAAACTCCTAGATATGTAAATAGAGTTCCTCTAAACCTATAAGGAAAAGATCAACAAACCAACCAAAAAATGGGCAAAGAATATAAAGTCATTTCACAAATGGCTCTTAAGCATCTGAAAAGATTGTTTAACCTTACTCATAATAAGTTAAAACTACTATGGGATACCATTATCCTACCAAATATAAAGACTACACTGCCTCTGTTACCATCTGAGCACTGTTGATCTTTTAACTTTTCCTGTGAAAATGTACATTCCAACTTTTTTCCATAATGTAGCTACATAGTACAGTACATCATGATAAATACCAGAAACAAAAACAAGAGGGAACAAAGAAATTGATAATAGAGATTGGGGATCAGCTCTGCAGAGTATTGTCATCCTGCACACAGGCCTGTCTGAGGTAATGATTGAGCTAAAGAAGTTTGTGTATTTAGCAAGGGAATGTTTCATAAAGAAGAGATAGTTAGGGGTCAGTGAAGGATCTTAAGATGGCTGGGCAAAAATTTGCTCTAAAACCCACTGACCTGGTGGGGATACCATCTCCCAAAACCAAAGGTTACTAACTAACCTTTAGATTACTGACTTCCTGGAGTAAGACCTTCACCTCCAAGCTGGCTACTCTTTCTGAGAATCTACCTACTGTCAACTGAGCCTACTATAAGGTCAGTGTGATGAAGGCTGGGTTGGTAAATGACTTTGAGAAGAAGTTTAATGCCCTGAATGTTTCTGTTCCAGGGGATAAATATGCCATCCTGATAAGACCCTGAAGAAAAAGATGTGAAAAGTTGTGATGTTTTTTAATCTCTCAAAGGTCAGTATTGAGGAACAATACTGGAGAAGATAAAGAATTCAATTTGATCAGATAATTCAACCAATTTAAACAAGAAGTAGTACCCTACCGGCCACACAGGCCCATTAAGAGTTTACAGAATTCAGGAGAAAACCTATTTCTCCTAATCTATTAAAAATAATTACATTTAAAAAAATTACATAATGAGAGAAAAATAAAGAGACAGCTAATGAAAATCCTGGTGAATGAATACATCAATGTCCATTCTAGAAACCAAAAAGATGGATAATAAGGCTAGAGAGTTAGTGACTAATATACGAAGAGTTGACAGACTAAATTAGGTCAGATAATACAGGGCCTCAGAGATTTTGGTTTTATTCCTCAGAGCAATGAGAAGCTTTAAGAATTATAGTGGTGGTGATGATATTTTTATTGCCACTTTGCATAAGAGCAACTTATTCAGAAAGGTGAAACATCTTGACCCACGGCAACTTGGTGCAGCCAAAAGTCAGCTCCGTATGCTTTTGATCTTCGTTTTAGTAAATGAGAGAGATACATATGGGTTCCAACAATTTTCACCTACAACTGATATAAAGATAACCCAAAACTGATTTTACCTAGATTATTCATAGTGAAAAGTATTAGAATTATCTTTATGCAAAAAAGTCTAAAGAAAAAAGCAGAAATAGATCCACTGTAATACAACCACTGTAATACAACTGGCTTAATGCTTCTACCTTACCTCAGAGGTATATTTCTGACAACTGTCTCTTGAAGTGAGTGAACTTTTTTTGGCAGGAGGAACATGGTCACTCTCATTGAGCCTACAACGAAATCTCTTCCTAGATAGAAGATCCAAATCTGCAGGAGGCTTTTCAGAATCATCTCTTCTACAGTTAGATGAACACAAGGCATCCTGACCAGCTGTAGTCATTGGAAAACTCATACTGCATAACAAACATAATACATACATGATACATCAAAAGAAGTTACTTAATGAAGTCAAAGTCCCTCAATTACTTACTGAGGTTAAAGGCTGATCATTCCAATAAAAACTGTCAAAAACCTTTAAAGCACTAATACATACATAGCCATGGCCACAAATATTAGTTTTGAGCTCCATTTATCCTTAGACATACAAAATATACATAAACCTCATAATAAACACAAGTGCACGCATGGTACATCAAAAGAAGAATTTTCTTTATCTGGAAAGTTGTTTTTAAAAAATGTCTCTTTCAACCCTCCATGGTGGTGCAGCGGGTTAAAAGCACTGCACAAAGAAGCTAAAGCCACTTCCACATGAGTTCGATTCCCGCCTGCCCCGGAGGTGACCACATGGTGTGGCAGACCTCTCCTGACCCGCCCGCTGCTCCCCTCAGCAGTGTAATTCGTCGATCTGCCTGTTCTGTTCCCCACTCTGTCTCTGGTGAAGCCTCTCGCCACCCCTGAGCCTCTGGCCTGTACCCTAGTTCTGTATGCACAAATAAATAAATCTTTAAAAAAAAAAAATGTCTCTTTCAGGAGCCTCGCTGGTGTGCAAAGGGATTATGTCTCAGCACAATGAGGCTATCAGCAGCCAGCCAATGCAAACCGGGTAAGGAGCTAACCTACATGGCAAGGCAGACCTCTTTTGTCTAGTCTTCCTGTTTGCTCCCCACTGTCTCTGGTGAACCTTCTCAACCTCCACACCTATGGCCTACACTCCAGCTCTTGTGTGTATAAATAAATAAATCTTAAAATAAAAAAAAAATGTCTTTTCCAAATATAAAAATCTTTAATTTCTAATGCTACCTGACAATTAGGCATTTTAACCAATGACCAATAAATGTTCCCTTGCTATATACTATTTTTCCAACTTTCTGTGAATATATAATCATTTCAGAATTGTAAAAATACATAAATATTTACAAAATTTTAACAGATGCCATTATATAAACCAGACTGCTAAGTTTTTTAATTTTCAAAATACTTAAATTACCAAACATGTCCTAATGAAAGTATCATTTATACATTTCTTTTTTTTTAAGATTTATTTATTTATGCATTCAAGAACTGGGGTACAGGCCAGAGGTATGAGGTGGGGGGGTGAGAGATTTCACCTTAGACAGAGTGGGGAGCAGAACAGACAGATGTACTGAAATACACTGCCGAAGGCAGCAGTGAGCAGGTCAGGAGAGGTCTGCTGTGCCATGTGGGGCACCTTGCTGGCCAGGAATCAAACTCACGCTCAGTGGCTGCGAAGAGCTTCTTAGTACTGTGCTTTAACCTGTTGCACCACCAGGGAGGGCCCCTGATTTATACATTTAAATAGCATCTTTATCATAAAATCAGTGATTTCTTCTCTAATTTACCAGATAATTACTAAATGAGATTCTCAGGACAATTTAAATAATGTTAGTAAATGCCTTGTTTAATCAATACTGTCTAGTTCATAAGGCACTGTTCTCTTAGGAAAAAAGGTTAGCTTTATTTATTACCTCATGTTTTCCCTTTCTTCTGTATTTGCTGATTTGACCAGTATAGGCGCTGGCAGCAAAGAGTTTGGCATTAACTCTGTAGTGGTGTCAGTAAATTCTTCCACAGCATTGGCTGGGATTTCCACCAGAGTCAAAATGAAGGTGTGATCATCTTCTCCATCTTCATGTACATTAGAAACCAGATTCACTAACAAAGTTTAAAAGTTAGTAATGAAATACTGAACTAGGAACAACAGAAAATCATTAATATATTTCATTTCTCAAACATCTCATGATATCTTATCACCAAGAAACTAAATTACACCATCCAAAACAGCAGTTTCATGAAGGATGAAGATGATTCCCTATGGAGAGGACTTACAATTCTGAATAATAAAGCTGATGCATAAAATACTTCAGTTTGTTTTGGTTTGTTTTTTTTTTTTTTAAGACCATAACAGACTGAAAAAGAACTGTTAGGACTTTCCAAAGTCTCTGGGGGATAAGTCCGTATTATTAGGCTATGTTACACTTTAATGAAGCAGGTCATCATACCTGTTAGGTCTTGAGAACTGACTATATTCTCTTGTTGAACTTCTGGAATACTAGTTGGGGTACACTGCCACAAAAAATTGAAATGAAAAAGTGAGGTTGATCAAATCACATTCCTGACAATTTGATATAGTAAACAGTTTCAAAACTCAATATCTTATATAAGTATATACGATTTTTCAAGTGCTATGAGGCTTTCAATTATAACAATACACTTTTTATTCATTTAAATAAATATATACACATAAAGGAATTCTGACCAAATCACTAATTATGTTTATTAAGTGGTTTCTGGGGTAAGAATGGGAAATCCAAACCCTTCACCCTTCTACTTTCATATAGCAGCCATTGTAGGTGACATTTGAATAGAAGTAAACTGGTCTCCCTGCATCCAGAAGGGCTCCCCTTCAATGTTTTACACAAATTACATATATTGCTTCCCTTAAAAATGCAATTCCCTGGCCCTCTCTGGTGGCAGAGTAGGTTAAAACACAGGACTAAGAAGCTAACGCCACTTCAGCATGAGTTTGATCCCAGCCTGCCTCAGAGGTGACCCACATGGTGTGACCCGCCCGCTGCTCCCCTCAGCTTTGCTATTTCGTCCATCTTCTTGTTCTGTTCCCTTCTCTGTCTCTGGTGAATCCTCTCACTGCCGCTGCACTTCTGGCCTGTACCCTAGTTCTGTATAAATCTTTATTTAAAAAAAAATGCAATTCCCTAATGCTTAATATCTTAAAATTTTAATTTTGCAGTGAAAAATGTCTATAATTTACTGACGCAAGAATCAGCAATGCATAGTAAACTATAGGATAAAGGTTGCTAGATTATTTTAACCACATTATTTACTTACTAATACAAGGTAGAGAAGATGCCTTGATAATGAAGAATCTTGGCAAATAGCATTTTAGCCAAGTGATCAATCAAACATCACCAATAATGGGATAAACTCACATTATGTGTCTCCTGATATGATACACAAGAACAGAACATTGCCTACATAGTAATTCTTCCCAAAAATACCTAACCTGAATCTAATAATGAGGAAGTAATTTAAAAATTTATACTGTTGACTAGCCTATGTTCTTTTAAAATATGTCCACAAAAGTGGGGAAAAAACACAAGAAAACTACTGTAGAGAGAGACAGCCTCAATTTGAACTATATATATTAATATTAAATCAATGTTAGATAATATGGAGTGTAACAATAGCAATGCCATTTCTCTTTGAAAGCGTGTTTTTTAAATTATCTAGAGAAGTGGAGAACAAGACACAGAAAGAAAAAGCAAATGAGGCAAAATATTAACCATTAATGAATTCAAAAAAGGGTATATAAAAATCCTATGGGTAGAGTGCTAGGGCAAGATTGCTTGGCACCAAAATGAAAAGAGCACAAGCCCTGGAGCGCAGCTGCAGAGTCACAACCAGTGCTTCTGCAAGTCCCACCGGGCTCTCACTCAGGGACACAAAACCACACAGACCCTGGGAGACGGGGACACAGCTCTCAGGCTGGAAAAGTCAACATCTGCTCGTGACGACAGCTGCTTTCCAGGGCATGTGCCATGTGAGGGCTTAGCAATTCTTTAGGTTAGACACCAGGGAGAAAATGATCATATAGCTCACAGAATCTTAGGAGGATAAGATGATACATGTATGACAATATCTATTTTCACAAACACTTATAGGGCCTCCCTGGTGGTGCACAGGGTTAAAGTGCGGCACTATGAAGCTATCTGAAGCCAATGCAGCACAAGTTCACTCCTCAGCCATGGAGCTGACCCATAGGGCGCAGCAGAACTCTCCTGTCTTGCCCACTGCTCTCCTGAGCAGTGTATTTTGATCCATCCACCTTTTCTGTACCTCACTTTGTCTCTGGTGAATCCTCTTACCCTCACAGCTCTGGCCTGTACCCCAGTTCTTGTATGTATAAATAAATAAATCTCTAGAAAAAAAGTATTTATAAAATGTTAACTGCCATTATTATGTTTGTTGTTGCTATCAACGTTAACTGGACATTAAAGTTTCCTTTGTAAGAGAGCAATTAAGAAACCACTGATGATTCTAAACAGGGATATACTATTACCAAATACTTCATTTAAAAAACCTATGTAATGCTAAATGAAGGAAGCTTTGAGTGTTAGTAAGAGACACAATAGGGGACCAATTGAGTGACTATGTCAGTATCACAGGTGAGAGATTTGGGTGGTTTAGCTGGTTACAGTAATGAAAATAGTAGGGAGTGAACAGAATTGAGCTCTATTTAGAGGTAAAACTGAGAAAGTTGCTCAATTTCACATAAGGTGGTACGTTGTCAAAACTTGCAGAACTGCACACCAGAAAGAGTGAAATTTATTGCATGTAAATTATATCTTAATTTTTGTCATATTTTTTAATGGGGAATAAACAACCAGCTAATATTTTACATTCTTTTACCTCTGGCACATGAAGTGTAAGCACACTGTCTCCATTAGAGTCCCTTCTAAGTTGCTCTTCAATAGTACTGTTAGCAAGACCATTACCCACATCAAGTGTGTGGGACCTTATGGGATCAGAGGATACAACTGGAGCAACTGACAATATATGAACTTGAGATCCTTCTTCTTGATCTTCATGTCTGAAAAAGAAATTAGTATGTCCTAAGAGTCTTAGTATGTATTTGAAATTAAGCAGATAACCATAGAATAATGTTCACAAGTAGGAATGTCAACAATAATCTAGTAAAATGGTTCTCAAACTATTAAAATACTTTGAATGTAAAACAGCTCCCTTTACGATCAAATTCTTATAGATGCAGATTATAACAATAATTGAAATACTATAAACCAATATATACTTGGACATACTGTATAGTATGTAAACTATCACAATAAAACTTACTTTAAAAAGTACTGAACTATATGTGTTCCATCACATGTATATACTTTTGTTCTTGTGTGTGTGTGTGTGTGTGTGTGTGTGTGTGTGTGTGTGTGTGTGTGTGTGTGTGGATAGCTAGATGAATGTATGTACACATATACATCCTCATTTTAAAGTTTAGGTGTGCTAAGCATTTCTGGAAAAAATTAACAATTTATAATAATTGCAACAATACAAACCCAGCTTATTTTTCCTCTTTACCTTTCAGTTAGGCTTACTCCTTGTGAAATGTTGGTCTCTTCAACACCATGTACACATATCAGTTCTCTCTGCTCCTTGCTCTCTAATGTTATAACTGATCCAAGATTTGTATCTTCTAATTCTGTTGCTTTAGAAGCATTTTCCTCAGTTTCTTAAATGAAAAAAGCAATTTAAGATATAGCCCAAAACACTACAGCTAAAATCTCTGTATGAGAAACATTCTTTCCTAGAAGATCAGTATATAGTGGCTTTTCTAAAGTACTCTTCACTCAAAAAGCAAGGGTTCATTAATCTGGCAAAAGGGTAGACCTAATCAATGAGATTTTTGATAGGTAAAAGAGATGACAGTAAATGCTGCACCAAACTTACATTGTGCCTGGCTGCCAAAGCAGTTATATCACCACTCTCTGGTAATAGCAGTAAATTAGAAATTCACATACAAAAGAGATTTAAAGGTTGGCATACAGAGGTCTGGCTAGTTCCACCTTAGGAAAAGTGGTGCAAAGGAACTGCTCAAAAAAAAAAAATAATGCCACAAAGGGTAAAATACTTCTATCTGAAAGGTGTAAGTTGAGTCTGCACACTGAGATCACTTCTGGGTATTGCACAAGCTGACTAAATAATAAATTACACTGAACTGAACCATAGGTTCATTCCTGTTTAAAGTGAAATCCCAGAAATCAGGAAGCCCAAAACATGAAAAAGATCATGCTAACATTGAGATCTACATATGGGATTTAATACAATGTAGGTGGCTTGCTATATGCATTGCTTTCTTTGCTCTTACCAGCATATTAAGGGACTAACCCTTGGCTAGGAAAAATGGAAAAGGAAATGAGTGTAAGAGTCAAGATGTGTATTATAATACAGTGAAGCCACAAAAAAAATCTGTGTGATCATGCAGAAAGATTTTGTCAATATATTAAGTTTGAAAACAAAGCATTAATAAAAGAAATCTTAATAATAAAGACAAGTAATTCAATTTAAAAAATAACATCTGAACAGACATTTCTCAAAAAAAAAATACACAAACAAACAAAAAAAGAGTACAGACACCTTTGAAACAGTTTAGCAGATCCTTAAAAGGGTTAAATATAGAGTTACGAGATTCAGTGATTCTACTTGAAGGTATAAACACAAGAGAATGAAAACATGTGTTCTTAGAGTATCACTTAATTAGTTAAAAGGCAGGAAACAATTCAAATGCCCATTAACAGATGAATGGATAAACAAAATAATATATTCACATAGTAGGAAATTACTTAGCAATAAAAGAAACTGATTATACGATACATTCTACAAATGATGTTTGAGAACATGCAGAGTACAAGAAGTCAGGTGCAAAAAGCACATACTACATGACTCCATTAATATGAAATGTCCAGATGAGGCTAATCTATGACAGAAAGTAGATTGGTGGCTGCTTAAGGCTGTGGAAAATTAGGGAAATGGGGAGTTACTACAATGGCAGTGATTATACAACTTAATAAATATACTAACCACTAATGAACTATAGGTTCTAAATAGGTATATTGTATGTATTATCTCAATAAAATTACTTTAAAAACGTACTGAGCTGTATATGTAATATCACATGTATGCACTTTTGTTCTTTCTGAAAATGTGTGTGTTGTGTGTGTGTGTAGACAGCCAGATGAGTGTACACATACATACACATCCTCATTTTAATGTTTAAGTGTGCTACACATTTCTGGAAAAAAGTTAACAGCAGTTTACTATGAGAACTGAGACTGGGGATCTGAAGTCCAAGAAAAAAAGCATTCTAAATTTTTATACTTTTGAACACTGGTTATTTATTGCCACAAGCATATTTATCTTTCTAAGAGATGTTTCCTTAAATATATGTACCCATGCATACACAGAAAAAATATATATGAAGAGAAAGTTTAATTAAGTAAATAAAGTAAAATTATAATAATAACTGAATTTTTTAGTAGTAAATCACAACAGTTTTAATGATTGAATATTCCATTTGAAAAGCAAGGCTATTTCTGTTTCAAAATAATTTTGCGACATATAATGGGGGGTAAGGGAGATATACCTCTTTGAGTTACTTCTTCAGTTATAAATAAATTAGGAACTTCCTGATGAACGCCAAGTCTGCTTGTCCCTAAAATTGTTTCAAGATTTAGCAAATTATTAGTCACTTCAAAAGCTGCATCCCTAAGAAAAGAGAAGAAAGAGAAATTTATCAACTATGTAAAGATCCTCTGATGTCTTTTCACATGATACATCTGTCTAGAACTGACAGCTATGTATTACCTTCTCAGTTGACACACTGTGAGGTATCAACATGTCCATTTGTCAGTGCTAAACCTACATGGTAGTTACTAAAAGTCCACAGAAGAGACGAGAAACAGGACCATGACTATAATACAGACTACATTTACATGAAACTTTTACAATAAAACGTCAGACACACAGGTGATAATTTTAAGATGCAAACTGCTAAACTAAAATGAACATCAGTCAATCTTTAAAGGATGAAAATGAGGAGTGCCTATTTAACATTGATAAAAATATCACATAGAACTATTAACTAACCTGATGATTTGTTAAATGTGTGAAATGACTATACTTTTTAAGAAAAAATCAAAAGAAGTAATAATTAAATAAAGAAAAAATGGGCCTTGCTGCTGGCTCAGAGGTTGAAGTCTCAGTGTTATCAAAGCTATCGCCAGCCAATGCAGTATGAGTTGGATCCTGTCAGGGAGCTGACCCAGCACAGCAGACTTCTGTCCTTCCTACTGCTTCCCTCAGCAGTGTATTTCAGCAGATCCATCTATTCTGCTCCCTACTTTTATCTGGGAAATTTTCTCACACACACCCACATCTCTAGCCAGTTCTTGTATGCATAAGGAAATAATTCTTAAAAAAAATAAATAAATAAAAACCTGGTTGGTAGAGTGTTTTCCTGTACTTTCTCCATTAAACCAATTTTTTCTTTTGTACTTTGTTCCTCCAATATAATTTTGTCTTCATCTAATGATGCAAGAGATATACTATTGATAGTTGAAGAAAGCTGACATTCGTGAACAATTTTGTAATTTACATTACCTGGTAAAAAAAGGAATATGACTTTTATCCTTTGAATGAACATCAGGTGGTACACATATTTCTACTACTGAAAAAAGCAGAAAATTAAAATTGACCAATACATCTCAATATCCAAGTAAATTCTTAGGCATTCAGAAAATACAAGTCTTTGTTTTTAAAGTTTTCTCTATTTTTATTTCAAATTAAAAGTTATGATCTTATATTTCATGCCAGAAATTTGATCTGCCCTAAGTTTGATAGTTCTTGTAGACATTAAAAATTTTTAGTTATTATAAGTAAAATTAAGTTCTTATTACTCTCAGTAATTAAATAACTTCAGATGAATTTCAAAATAAGATCACCTTCATTTACAATTCTTTAAAACCTGAATTTTGTTTTAAAGATCTAGCTTTGAGACTAAAAATCTAACACTGAAAATAGAGTTTATGGGCCCTTCCTAGTGGCACAAAGGATTACAGCATATCACGATGAAGCTACGGCAGCTACTGTGGCACAAATTCGATCCCCAGTCAGGCAGGTGGCCCACATGATGCAGCAGACCTCTCCTGACCTACCCACTACTCCCCTCAGCAGTGTATTTCAGTGGATCTGCCTGTTCTACTCCCCACTCTGTCTCTGGAGATTCCTCTCACTCCATGTACCTCTGGCCTATACCCCAGTTCTTGTATACATAAATAAATAAATCTTTTAAAAAAAGAAAATACAGAGTATAAAGTAATTACCAACTAAAATAATTGGAAGAAATAAATAAGTATCAATTTAATGTATTTAAAGTAGTAGATAGTTAGTAACGATCATTGCTTCTCTGTAAAATCAACCTAAAATGTTACAAATTTAGGTTTACTTATCTTTTGGTTCATTCTAAACTATCACTATCTAAATTAACTCAGTCACAGTTACTGTTCCTTCATACTACATTTGTCATGTAACTGAAAACTATCCAAATAACAACTCCTTTGCTAGAGAAACATGTTTATAGTAATCAGTGAGTTCAGTTAACCAATGATGTTTATGTTGATAAAAGTGGAGGACTTAATTAATCCTTCCATGAATATAAATTATTATTTATTTTTATTGAGGTAACTTAAAGGCCTAGGATCACTTCCTTCAAGATACAGTTATCACATCACACCAACCACCAAGACACCTATAGTAATCTACCACAGTCCACTGTTACAAGTTATGTTTAATCAATGAAATGTGTTATCCCAAAATGGCCACTACACCTAAAGGGCTAAATAAGTCAGACTGATCAAGGTACAGGTTTTAGCTTTTCTGGAAAAAGAATGAAGTGATGCCAACTTCAAATGTAGAAGGCAGATATTCACTTATTACTCAAAAGTGGGTATAATTTCTTAAAGTTGACTTTAAAACTTTTCTTTCACTCTTACCATCACTCTGTTCTGTATTGATCTCTGACTGCAATACCAGATCTCCCATTGTAAGTAAAGCAATGGCAGCTTCTGTGCTTCCGTCATTCATACCTTACAGGAAAAAAATATTGAAATAGTCAAATGAACATGAAAATTTGTGTACTTTCAGAGGAAATACTACTTTATTAAAAGATGTAACTCTTAACTCACTTTCTAAATAACCTTCTGAAAACTTAAGCTTCTAGAAATAACAGCTGTATCTTCTGTTCAACTCTCCAAAATGACTCATTTACTAACTACCACTTCTACTAAATCATCATGTTAGTGTCAACCAAGCAGTTTTAGCAGTTTCCTTATCAACAATTACCTGCTTCATCTTGGGTATGTTCAACTCTGCTCACTTCCTAAAAGAAGAAAAGACAGGCAATATAGTATATATTTTCCCAAGAATATAGTATTTAGTATCATAAAAAGCACTATATATTACAGTTCTTTATGACAACAAAGTGGACTTTTTTCCTTACATCTGATATATTCATAAAATTTCATAATGCATAACAGAAATAATTTAGAAATCAAATTATAGTCTTGTGCTCTTTCACCTTTTCCTTGTATGCAAATTTTAACTCTGATCATATTGTTATGTGCATTGATCATTTTATAAAAAAGATTTATTTATTATTTATGTATACAAGAGCTGGGGTATAGGCCAGAAGTGCAGGGGGTGAGAGGATTCACCAGAGACAGAGCAGCAGAGCAGAACAGATGGGTCAGCTTCCTGGCCAGGGTTCAAACTCATGCCTTAGTGGCTATGGGTAGCTTCATATTGCTGTGCTTTGCCTTTGGCTACCAGGGAGACCCCCTGAATTGATAGTTTTTACTTTACTTCTTATTTTCCCTGTTTTTCAACTTTAGCCATACCTACTGCCAGCTTTAACCTAAGGGAAACCAAGTTCTAAAGAATATTACTGATTTTGAGGCCCCCCTGGTGGAGCAACAGGTTAAAGAGCAGCACTACAAAGCTGGCTGCAGCCCTTCAACGCCAGTTGGATTCCCCGCTGAGGACAGGACTAACAGCACAGCAGACCTCTCCTGTCTTGCCCACAGCTTCCCTCAGCAGTGCCCTTCATCAATCTGCCTATTCTGCTCCCCACCCTGCCTCTGGTGAATCCTCTCACCGCCCCGGCAGCACCTCTGACCTGTACCCCAGTTCTGTATGAATAAATAAATCTTTTTTTTTTAAACTGCAGATTTTTCATATTGCCACGTAGCTTAAAACAAGCAAATTTTAATAAATTAAGAAGTTCAAGATTGATGTTGAATATGGTAACATGAAAATCTTTGCTGACTGGTCCTCTCTCCAGTAAAACTAGTGAAATTTATTTTAAAAGAAATTTAAAATTTCTGGTACTGGTCCAAAGGCCTAAGATGAAGAAATATCTCAAGGCAAACTAAATATAAAAATGTTGATTCTGAATGAAGTATACGTGAAATTTAATTAATGTTATAATGAAATATTAGTTCAACTAAAAAATGTATTATAAAATATGTCAAGGGACCAAAAAATGACACAGGAACACTAATAAGGAATGACTATCACCCAGTCATTAGTGAATCCTCAAAAACAAAACAAAATGGAGAACGTGAAAGAAAAGGCCAGCATTCTCATCTACTTACATGGAATATTGGAAAAATTGAAACTCGTATGTATTGGATAAATAAAAAGGAAGAAAATTTTGAGGAAAATTCAGTTTTCATCAGAACAGAAGGAAGAAAGATTGTTTTTCCTTTCCTCCTCTTAGCTCATCACTAAGCGAAGAAAGTCAGTTATAAAAGATTTATGTTTACTAAGAACAGAAACCATAAAATACCTAGAAGCAAAGATGGGTCAAACACTACACAACATACACTTCAGCGACATCTTTAAAGACAGAGCATCCAATGCCACAATAGTGAAGGCAAGGATAAATAGATGGGACTACATCAAGTTAAAGAGCTTCTATACAGCAAAAGAGACATTACAAAAAACAGACAGCCCACTAATTGGGAAAACATTTTCTCACACAAAAGTAGTGATAAAGGACTGATCACAGAAATATACGGAGAACTGATGAAACTCAACAAAAATAAAATAAACAACCCCATCAAAAAATGGGCAGAAGAGTTAAAAAGACACTTCTCCAAAGAGGAAATGCAGATGGCCAACAGGCATATGAAAAAATGTTCAACATCACCCGTAATAAGGGAGATGCAAATTAAAGCCACATTGAGATACCACCTCACCCCAGTGAGAATGGCACATCTTCAGAAAACTAGCAACAACAAATGTTGGCGAGGATGTGAAGAAAAAGGAACTCTCCTGCA